GGTAGAGGCTATTTCGGTGAGCACAGAGCCCTTCCGATCTGCAAAGAGCGCTTCTTATGAGGGAGAAGAAGAAGCGGGCGCCGCGAACAGCACTGCAGCTTGCGCCAGTTCTCATCGCCACGCTGGAGGAGGGGGGGAAGGGGCTTCTCGAGCACACGTGGCCACCACTCCATCAAAGAAGTCACTAAGCTGGGGTATTTAGTGATGATGTCATTTGTCACACAGAAACCACAAAATCTACACATTATGACACCGACTACGTGTCCAGTGACACAAATGCTGAAAGTGAAAGCGACTGAGATGTACTGGCGTATCTCTAACAAATTTGTTGTTAAGATGGATTATTATTGATAAACTCATGTGTCTAGATAATTCGGTACTTGACCAGGGAAACCTCAACGAGGGAAAACCTTGTGCGAACAAAAAAGAATAAACCCCAGTGGGAAAAAATTCTAAAAAGAACGCAGAATATAGACACGCTTCATGCGCTTGTATTATCAGGGTATTTCTAAACTGAGTGGCCGGATCCTGCTTTCAGGCATTTCATCCTGAGCTTGGCCCTTAGTTCTCTAAACTGGTGCTTATCTAAAGCTTTAGTGAAGATGTCAGCTATCATCTCTTTCGTATTGCAGTAGGTGACGTTGAATTCATGCCGCTCTATTTTTTCTTGCACGAAACAGTATCGTACGTGTATATGTTTTGATCGTCCGTGAAGTTCGGGGTTGTAGCAGATTTTGATGCAGCTCTGATTATCCTCGTATATTGTGTTAGCCTGCGCTGTAGCAAAGCCAAGTTCGTTGAGGAGAAGTTTGAGGAATATCATCTCTTGTTTGCAGTGACACAGGGCGATATATTCTGCCTCTGTTGTAGAGAGAACTACAGTATGATGCTTGCGAAAGCCATGAGATAGGACCGCTAGCTAGCATTGTCACGTATCCTCCAATGGAGCGTCTCGAGTCGGGGCAGTTGGCGTAGTCAGAGTCACTGTAGGCAATTAGTTGATCGGCAAGGTTTTCCGATGTAATATCGGTCGAGCCTCCCAGAAGAAGACCGTATTCTTTCGTTCCAGATAGGTACTTTAGACCACGAATGACTGCTTTCCAGTGATCCATACCTGGATTCGCTAGAAATTGGCTGACCTCTCGCATGTAGAATGCCAAATCGGGTCGAGTGCCTACCATTAAATACATGACACTACCTACAGCTTGTCGATACGGAATCGATTTCATCGCATCTTTCTCTTGCTCACTGCTGGGCTGGCTGCTTACGGAAAGTTTAGCGTTCCGTTCTGCTGGTATTGCAATAGGGTACGGAATGTAGTCGCTGAAGCGGTCAATGACCTTCGTAGCGTACTTGTGCTGGTGGATAAACATCGTTCGGTTTTTACGGTCACGTTGAATTGACCAGCCGAGTAAGTACTTCACCTCCCCTAAATCTGACATGGAGAAACGCTTTTTCAAGGCTGATTTCAGCTCACTGACGAGTGCTGGTGTAGGCGCAATGATCTGTAAGTCGTCGACGTACACTGCAATGTAACAGGTGATGTCAGCAACTGTGCGTCGAAATACGCATCGATCTTTAATAAGTTTCAAGAACCCGAGATTCTCTAGGAAGGCAGACAAGGTTTGGTACCATACACGAGGCGCTTGTTTAAGCCCATATAAGCTCTTAAGAAGTTTACACACTAGGTGCTCCTTGCCCGGGATTTTGAAACCTTCCGGTTGAGCCATGTAGATCTCCTCTTCCAAGTAGCCATTAAGGAATGCTGTCTTAACATTCATTTGATGGACTTCAAAGTCGAGAAGAGCTGCAATAGTAAGAAGTAGTCTAAGTACCTCCATCCTGATGACAGGAGAGAATATCTCGTGGTAGTCGATGCCATATTCCTGAAGGAATCCTTTGATCACAAGACGCGCTTTAAAGCGGTCGATCTCGCCAGTGCCGGTATACTTTACTACAAAGATCCATCGGCTACTTAAAATCTTCCTTCCTTTAGGAGGGGATACCAACACCCAAGTGTGATTGTCCATGAGGGACTTGTATTCCGATTTAGCTGCTTTACGCCACTGGTTAGCGTGGGAAGACTTCATTGCTCCCCGATACGTAGTGGGCTCAGACACATACCGAATAGCTAGTAATGTGTACAGTAATTGCTGACGTTGCTCCTGTTCGTGTATGTCTTCCTCAGAGTTGAGGGTTACGTCATTGGCTTCCTCAGAGCTATCAATGGCTTCCGCAGAGAGGCGGGGTCGCTTAGGAGTCGAATGATGCGGAGGATCAGAGTCCGTCTCTGTTCGAAAAGAATAATGTATGGCTGTTCGATCAACAGCCTCCCTCAGTGAGGGCAGTACACGTTGGTTCACTGTGCCTGGCGCTGTTGTCATTGCAGGGCCTGATGTGGGTGACGGTGTGATCACTGGTTCTGACACATGTTCAGGCTCCGGTGTTACTGTAGTAGCAGTTGCAGGTGGCAGAGGTACAGGTGCAAGTGTAGCGGTAGATTTCTGCCGATTCGTGGACTGTGTGGGCTCTGGAGTAGACGTCAGGCCTGTGAGAGAGGGAAATTCGTCCTCTTTAAAGACTACATCACGACTGTAGATAATTGCATGGGTATTGATGTCCATCAGACGGTAGCCTTTCTTATGGTCAGGCACACCAAGATACATACACAAACGGGCTCTAGCGTCGAGTTTGTCTCGGTATTGCTCCGTGATGTGGACATATCCGCTGCATCCGAATACTTTGATGTACTGCATGGATGGAATACGGTTGTGTTAAAGCTCATACGGGGTTCGTCCATCCGTCTTGGAGCTAGGAGTCATATTGATGAGAGTGGTCACATGACAGACACACTCGGCCCATAACTGCTTCGGTAGCTTGCCGTCAAGTAGAAGGGCTCGGACACGCTCCATAATGGTACGCATGCGGCGTTCTGCAACTCCGTTTTGCTGAGGTGTGTATGCATTGGTAAACTGGGCGTGAGTTCCATACTTTTTAAATATGATGCGGCCAAGCTTCTCGTACTCTTTAGTGTTGTCTGCTTGAAGCCGCTGAATCTCAAAGTTACCCTGGTTTGCATTGTCTTCAACACTGAACGCGTACTCTATGACAGATATATCTTGTCTGAAAATATTCAGGGCTTTCTTCCTGAAGTCTTCGTAACAGCCATACAACTCGCTACGGTTCTTAATTGCATAAGTGAACATGAATCGAGAAAAGTCATCGATGAAGATCAAGAAGTAGCGACAACCAGTAAGGCTAGGCACAGGTAGTGGACCACAGATATCTGAATGGACTTTTGACAAAGGTGATGTAGCACGTTTAACAACTCTATTAGAGTAAAATGGGGAGCGATGTGATATCGCTAACGTGCAGGCAACACAAAAGAAATCTGTCTTTGGACCTAGAGGTATAGATCCATCGAGTCCATGTATGGCCTGACTCCTAGATAGGTCATTCAAGACACGAACGTTAGGGTGTCCAAGGCGTTTATGTAAGAGCAGAAAGAAACGTTGCTTACCTGAGGCAATAAGAGCCGCTGGAGGTGCCGCTGGTTTGGCTTGGAGCTGATACAGATCCGTGTTGGTAGCCATGAGCGCTTTGATCTTGAAGCGCTGGTCAGTTTGCATAGAGCACTGTTTGCGGTCAAAGTTGAAGCGAAAGTCGTGCTTCACAGCTGCTGGAATTGAAAGCAAACTGAATTGGAGCTGGGGAGCATACAGGACGCCATGAAGGATAAGCTTCTGCATAGTGCCCTTGGAGTCAGTGACTTCCAGATCGACCCGTCTAATGCCTTCGATGGGGATTTGGTTATTACCACCAACCGTAATGGATCCACCACTGGAGGTGATGTCGGTAAACCACTGAGACTCATGGGTGACGTGTCGAGTGCAGCCAGAGTCGATTGTCCAGGTGGGATCGGGTTCTATCTTGGCTTGAGCAGTGAGGCTAAACGGGAGATTGACTGTGGTAGCAACAGCGATGAGACCGGTGTCATGACGTCCTTGGCGAGTTACCTTGCGATTGTTTCCAGAATCACTGTCGTCGTCATCGTCATTGTCTGACTCAAGCGGGCGGTCCTTGTAGCGATCTTGACCGCATTGTTTGCCGCCATTTCCGTGCTTGTTCTTGCTACTACTGTTGTTGCCCTTGAAGTCGCGGTTGTTATTATTCTTGCCGTGTCGCCCATTGCCACCTTTGTTCGAGTTCTGGTACGGGTGATCGCGTTTCGAGTTACCCTTGAAGGCGAAGTTAGCAGGTAGCACTGTCCCAGCCTTCACTCGTCCATCTCGCAAATCCTTTTGAAGGCCTCGGCATTGGCGAATGTTGTGGCGTGGGCGATCACAGTAGGAACAGACATTGGCGCTGTCACGGCCTTGAGCTTGTGACACGGATCTCCTGTGTCCGGTAGCCACTAGAGCTCTCTCACCTTTGGTTGCAGAGGAATCTGGTGTGCCCTTGGCCAAGGTGTAGCGCTCTTGAGCTTGAAGATCGCGAACCTTGCCTTCAATGATTTGCTTGAGGTCTTCATACGGTATATACTTCCGCTGGCCCTTCTAGATGCGGAGATCGTCCTTCCACGACTTGGGCATCGAGTGGAACAGGTAGATAGACTTCTGTCCCTCGGTCATCACCGATTCGGTGGCTTCTGACGCGGCTTTCATCGCGTTCTCAAGCTTGAGAAAGAACTCAGTTAAGTCGGAGCCTTCCTCATACTTGATCTCCATCAAGAAGTGTTGAATGAAGTACGGATCACTATGAGAGGCTGCTCCCTCGTACTTCTGGCAGATGTAGCTGAAAATCTCGAAGGATGTCGTGAGATTCTTGACGAGCCGCACGTGCATGTTGTCCATCGTTTTCATCAAGAAGGCTCTGGTCTTGGCTTCTTGTCGACGGCGTTCGCGCTGGCTAAGAGGCTGTCTCTTCTCTTTCTTGGCGCGTTTGCGTGCACGGCGAGCCTCGCAATGGCTAAATGGTCGAACTACCGGGAGGTCCTTCCTCTTGATTGACGTATCGGAGCTGGCTCCAGAGTCTTCGTCCGAGTCCGAGGGCGGCTTGAGCTCGTCGTCGCTCTCGTCGTAGTCCACAGCGTCGGAGTCGATTTCGACGTTCTTGGTAGTTTTGGCATGCGGTTCATCGTTGGCATCAGACATTTCGCTGCCACTGTCTTCACTCTCGTCTTCCGACACACCGTCGTAGTCGGGCTGCTTCACGTAGCCGAGTAGGTGCTTGCCATCTAGTGCTGCGCACACACGGGTCTTCCAGACGTCGAAATTCTCGGCGCCGATGAGACGTGGGAAGTCGTCGCTTGAGGCTTGGCTTGGGCTCATAACCTATAACTCGTATGACAGGTCGAGAAGAAGTAGGGAGAGGAAGAAGACGTTACTTGTAGGCGTCAAAAGACGAAGTGAGTACTTTATTAGTATTAGGAAGCCACCAATAGCTGTACACCAGCCATTAGTGTCTGTATAGTTTAAGCCAGTCATACCGACTTAAACAGGACCTCCTAAATCTCATTATAATATTTTGGAGTGACTAGGTCAAGGTAATCAAACTGTTTAGAGGCTACTTCAACAGCCTCCCTGCCTCTGAACATATTTTATCAAACTGACAATTCTATGTTATAACAGAGGTAAAACTTTCCTTAAAGGACTTTTCCTCAGTCCTTGAAACGCCGCCAGGAAGTCGCTTAGGCTAGCCGATCTGGACTGTTTAGAGGCTACTTCAACATTAAACATCATTCTTCTATCGTCCCGACTCCAAATCTTGAGCAAGAAACATCCTCACCGACAGCTCAGCATTTAAGCGAAGCAAAGAACGGACATTCAGTTCATGCAAGCGGCTCCAGATCGAGTATAAAGAAGTCCAAACTGTTGATCGTTCAGGGCTTGCAACTTCTCTTTCACTGCGAATACCTCGAACTAGTTGAGTACGTCGAATGCATAACCCCTGTAGTTTACGTGGTATACAAATCTGTCCTGGAGCAGTTGCCGAATGTTGTCTACTATCCTGGTGGCGCAGGTACTTGGGGCATTGCAACTGTTGCGAATATTCTCGTGTTGGCGATGTTGGAAGTTGCTTCTCTCGTTTTCCTCCATCAGTTTTTACAGCGCAAGTTCGCTTTTTCTGCGATGCATCAACTGGCATTCGCACTGGAAACTCACGTCCGCCTGGTTCAGATGAAGCTTTTTACCGGAGTCCTTCTACTCATCCCGTTTGAGCTACAGCACTTCGGTACGTTTTTAATGATAGTTTACTTACGGGTCTTACATTCTACGATTACCTTTTGTGCTGTTAGGTGCTGACTTTAGTTTTAGATTTGAATGGCTCCACGACCAGTAAAAGGTTGATGCAGAAGTAGTACAGTAGTACGTAGATTTCTTAGTAGCGATTTTAGAACTAAACATTAAATTCGCGATAGACCAAAACGGCAAATTTGGTCGGAATTCATAATACTACATGTATAGTACTACTACAGAAGTTCTACTACTATTAATACTGTAGTATTACCAATTGCCAGCTACAGTACGAGTACTGTAGTACAGTAGTGCTGTAGTGCCTCTTGGACGTCGCGCCATTGTAGAATGGTTCTACTACCGTACACGGTACATGTACATGGAGTAGTAATGCAATAGTTGTACAGCATAGCACTTCAACGCAAAACCTAGGTACTCAGCAGCTCAGTATTACAGATCCGATCCGAATTATGTGGAGGCGGTGATAGACACACCGGCTTGCACTACATGGGCGCCGCCACCAGTGCGCGTGAGGAAGCTCGAGGGTTTAGAGCGCACTGAGCTGAACCTATCCGCAGGGTAATCAACATCCAGCGTGTCCATGAGCCTCTGCGCGTGCTGCTGGTGCACGAGTGCAATGATGCAGCCACCGAAGCCAGCGCCCGTCATACGTGCGCCAAACACGCCTTCACAGCCGCGTGCCGTCTCCACCAGGTAGTCTAGCTCAGGAGTGCTCACTTCGTAGTCGTCACGGAGTGACTCATGACTTTGGTACATGAGCTGGCCCACCTCAGCGTATTGACGCGCTCGGATGTGTTCCACGGCGGCAGCGGTACGTTTGTTTTCTGTGATCACGTGGCGTGCACGACGATACACGACCTCGTCACCCAGAGCCTCGTGCACCGCGTCCAGCTCGGCCATCGTAGCGTCACGCAGGTGCGTCATCTGCGGGTGACCGTGGGTCTGTAGCGTCTTGACAGCCGCTTGGCACTGCGTGACGCGCTCCTTGTATTCGCCGCCGTTCAGCTCATGCTTGACGTTCGAGTTGCACACCACAATGACCACGTCCGGGTCCCGGAACGCCACATGTGTGGGCTCCTTTGTTCGGCAATCAATCAGCAGTGCGCAGTCCTTCCTGCCACAAGAAGAGATGAACTGGTCCATGATGCCGCACGGTACGTTGCAGTACTCGTGCTCGGCTGCCTGACACAGCAGCGCCTTCTGGATTGCCGACACCTCACTGATTTCAAACAGACTCTCTAAAAAGGAAGCGAAACCCACCTCCAGTGCTGCAGAGCTGCTCAGCCCGCTACCTAACGGCACGGTACTTGCAATGACCGCGTGGACGCCTAGAGGTTCTTTGCGGTTCAAATGCTTAAGATATTCAGCCGTCACACCCTTGGGGTAGTTGCCCCACGATGGCTGCGTCTTGTCCAGTTGCTCCGTGTTGTCGGCCGAGAACTCGACCAGCTGGTCGGGGAAGCTCGCCGACGCCAACTTGGTGGTGGACGCAGACTCGGCGGGTGCGCGTATACCCACCACTACCGTCGTCTTGTCCAGTGCCAATGGACACACGAAGCCGTCGTTGTAGTCTGTATGTTCGCCGATTAGATTCACGCGTCCGGGTGCGGCGGCGATGGTCAGAGCCTCGCGCGGGGCATTGGCGTGCTGCTTAAAGGTAGAGTAGAAGAGACTGACGGCCTGCTCGATCACGTCGACGGTGTCAGATCCGGCCATGCCAGTGAATCGCATCGAGCCTGTGATATGTTCGTTTATCGGAGGTTTCAAGAAAGTACTACATGGACTGTAGTACAAAAAAAAGATATGTGAAATAATATATTTCTCTCATTCTCAATTTTTAAAGCTTAAAAAAAGAAACTTGAAGTATTAGCGCTGATACTAGTATAATCTACTACTACGTAGTACTACGTAGTACTAGTTTACTATCGCTACAGCAACTGCTGTAACACGTAGTACAACTAGAGCATCCAGCGGCAATCTTTACGACGGTCCTAATCACGCACTAGGTACTGTACAATAAGACTTTCTGAAGCTAAAATCTCAGTAATACCTGAGTCAAAGCCACATCGCGCTCAAACACACAATGAACCGGATCGATCAGAGAATTGTAGTCTATTGTGATTGTCATTGAACATCTCCACAATGGTTTTCTTCCTCACTTCGATGTACGACACTAAGGGAAATAGAGACAAGCTCCCAAATGCACTATAGATACCAAATTTGACGGACATGTCTCCGTTCTTAAGACCATCGCGCCCACTGACTCCTTGGGAGAGATGAACGCGGCGGTGAGTTATAGAATGAAGAATCGCTCTAGCAAGTGAAAAAAATTGGACTTTTCTACTGACGAAGAAAAGAACAGAGTGTATCTTGCAAAACGGGACAATAAAAATTAATGATGGACGACATGTACGACCGCTGCACCAACTTGAACGGACGACGCCGCACCAAGTGATACAACGGTACATGCGGCTTCCAGACAGAAGAGATGCACTCTCAACCGCCTTCTCACCGCAACGCTCGTTTTCTGCTTCATACTATACCCACTCGCACACGTCGAAAGAGTGGAAGCGGGCTGTTGGATGAGCAATGCCATACAGCAAATTAGCTCTACTGAAGTCTCTTGGTGTCGGATTCGCAACTGAACTGGACTTCCGGTAGGCACCGTTGGAAGTGGTCGAACGGAATGGTTGGTGTAGCATCGCTCAGGTGGGCCACTTTGTCTGCTGTGCACCACATGTATATAGTGTGCTAAACATAAAGTGAGCTTTCCCTGAGACGAAGGGTACCCGTTACGACGACGGGCAAAGCTGGACTACAGTCTGTAGTCTGTTGCACAATAAAAATTCTAGGCGTGACACAAGTCAGCCAGCAACCAACTGCTACAGCCATGACCACCAGCTCGGAGCGTCCGGAGATCCGCACGCGCTTCGACTCGCACGACGAGAGTCACCGACTGCATCTTGTTCCTCCTTCGTCCGCTGATCGCTCGCCACTCAAGTCGTGGCGCAATCTGCCAAGTCCATTGGGCCACCACCACTTACTCGAAAGTCAATTAGAATACGAAGAGATTGAAGAGCAAGCGAAGAAGCAAGGACGGACAAAGACCCGCACTATCAACCACATTACTCTTGGCTTCATCGCGTACTTTGCTGTGGCCGCTGGACCTTTCGGGGTCGAGGATGCTGTGAGAGCAGCTGGAGCGTACCCGGTGCTACTGGCTGTAGTGCTACTACCATTCACGTGGGGGTTACCGCAAGCTTTAATGACTGCAGAGCTCAGCTCCATGATTGACGAGAACGGTGGCTACATTCTGTGGGTACGCCGTGGACTGGGCCAGTACGCTGGCTGGGTTAATGCCTTCAATAGCATCGCCAGCAACGTCTGCGACTTGCCGACGTATCCTGTGCTATTCTGCAGCTACGTGGAGGCGTTTCTGGCGTCTGGTTACGGCTACACGCTGACGGGCACGGAGCAGTGGCTGGTCAAGTGTTGTGCGCTGTTGTTAGTGTTCACCTCAAACGCCGTTGGCATGCGTGCTGTGGCGCTGGCATCAGTGCTAATGTCACTGTTTGTACTGGCACCGTTTGTACTGGAGCCGCTGTCGGTGGAGACGTTTAACCTCGCGACGTGGGGCAGCGTAGCGCCACAGATCGACTGGTCGCTGTTTCTCTCCACGATCCTGTGGAACTACCAAGGTGGGTGATATGACTCACTATAGGACGTCGTTGTGCAGGTGACTTATGGCGGTTGTTCTGCTGCGTATCGTATAGGCTGGGACTCGTTGGGGTGTGTCGCAGGTGAAGTGAAAGACGGCGGCAGGACGTACCCGATTGCCATAGTGATCGCAATGATCCTAATCACGATCAACTATGCGTTCCCAGGTCTGTTTCAGATATACTACAGCATAGTTCCGTCACCTTGACGCTTGTCTGTTGCTTGCAGTTGGTGCTGGCATCATGGTGCAGTCTGATTTCTCCCAGTGGCACGAAGGTTCTCTAGAGACTATTGCGATGACGCTTGCTCCGTGGCTGGGCGTATGGGTTGGCATGGCTGCTGTGGTCGCTACACTAGGAGAGTTCAACGTCGTGATGGCGTGCAGCTCACGCGCGTTGTGGGCCACAGCAGACTACAAGATGCTGCCCTCCTGTCTCGCTATTGAGTGGAAGCGCTTTGGAACGCCCATTGCAGCCGTGATCTTCCAGACTGTGACGACAGGTGTGCTCATGAACTTCTCGTTCGAGTTCTTGGTAGTGCTTGACACGTTCTTTAACAAGTATGTGGCTATTGCCGTTGGTTTTTTAAGTGCGCTGTCTGACGCTTTGTCTTATCTGCTACTGCAGTCTCACGTTGTTGCTCGAGTTCTTCGCGTTCCTGCGTCTCAAGTACATCGAAAAAGACACGGAGCGTCCATTTGTGGTGCCGTTCGGCAACGTCGGCGCTTGGACAATCACGTTGCCCAAGATCGTGGTGCTCTCGGCTGTGCTACTCGCTCAGAAACGCCATGTATGGGTGACCTGTGGGCTGTTTAATGTGGCCGTGTCCAGTGCGTATCTGGTTTGGCGCCGCTTCCAGCCAGCTCCCCAGGGCACGACCGAATCCTCCACCACCTCGTACGGCACCGGTCACTTGTCTTAGCGATCGCGGTACATGAGGCCCTCATTTACTTTTAGGTCTTAGTTTTTATTTTCGACCCATTTATAAACTTTAAAATGCCAACACAAAGGACCCATTTGTTTTACTACAGTAGTATTAAAAGTACTACATGTACCTCAAGTATGAGAAGTTCTAATTTGAACATGCACTAATACATAGTAGAAAAAAAAAAAGAGCTACCGGTATTATCTCTGTCCGAAGATAGCACTCAGCTCGTCTTGGTAAAAGTGTCCTCTTCGCTTTTGTTTCCTGTTCTGTTTCTTCTTCTCTCTTCGAAGCCGTTGTTGCTCTTTCACTGCAGCTTCAGCCTGGGCAGTTTTCTCCTCTAGCGCAAACTCCAGATCCTCAACGTTCTCGTAAAGAAAATCGATCAGCACGTCGACGTCCATGCCTACAGGAATGAGGATCCCCATGCCGTGCTCTGGCGTTCCTTCGTCCCATGACACTTGTGGCTCTTCCACCTCCGCGTCGGCAGTGACGAGAAGAGTAATCTTGTTCCACACGAGACTATGCAGACGTAGCTCCATGAAGTTTACGAGTAAAAGGTTCGCAATCCAGTGGAACGCGCTCTTTTTCATGTGCGGGTCCTCAAATTTTGGCAGGAAGAGTCTCGAATGGAGTAAACTAGTCAAAACTGCATGTTGCGTCGCTGCGAAAAGCGTAGAAACCAGCAGCGGTCAGTCAACGATCGACATAAAAATCCATTTCAAAACACCACTTACTCGGCCCGTCTTCCAGTCCGGTCGTCGTCTCCTGCACGATATTCTTTTCGTGCGTGAGCATCTGGTGGAACATCTTATCAAACTGTTCGTGCTCCCGCTTCGTCGCTCGGTTCTGTTCTCCCACTCGAATCCCATGCATGTCCGTCTTATCCGCAACTGTCTCGTCCTCTGATAGCCACTCTGACAATGCAGTCGTCTTAATTTCTTCACCTTCTTCTTCTACTACAAGCGGCACTTGCGCCACCTGGAACAAATCCTGTAGAATCCGTTTTGTAGTGCGTTGCCACTCCCGTGCGAATGGGGCTTGCAGTGCAGCCTCCGGGTCATTACGAGCACTAACTGATCGCCCAAGATTGGACAGGGTGCGCTTCACCAGACGCCCGGGTACCTCTACGGTGTACTTGACTTGGACGAACCCATCCACGTGCCCCTGAGCCTCGAAATCGTCTATCGGAACGTGGAAAGCCAGCGGAAACCGCACGGGTTCCTCAGTAATTGCTTGACGGCTCTCACTTAAAGCTAGAACCTGTTTACGCGCGTTGAACGCGTCGTTGTTGCATCCGAACGCTGCCAGCTCCAGGAATATGTTAAGCTGCTTGAGTGCTTCTTCGTTCTCCTGGGCCAGAGCGGGTGCTTGGCGCTGTACCGTGTCTGGATGCAAGCGCAGCAGCAGAGGAGACACGTATGGAGTGAGGTTTAATCCTTTGGGGCGGCGGAGACCGGTAGCCGTTGATAGGCAGCGCCGCAGCAGCATGTTAAAGGGCTAAATGAATGAATGGTTGGGATTGGCTGAAAAGTCACTAAGTCGCTTGACGATTTTGCATTTTATGCAAACGACTCGTTCGAATCAGCATCCACCGTGCTACATTAAATGTAGCATTAGGCGTTTCACGGGGAACTCTCTGATTCTATAGCTCCAGTGCTGCCAGAACGCGATGCATTGCGCTGTTTCGTCGAGATCGTCGTCGGGAATTTAGAGAGCTTTAAAAAAGGATCTGTTTTAATATTAATAAAAAAACAAGAAATAATTTTAAAATCTCTTTTTACGCTTGTGACTGTACATGTAGTTTTATTAACGGAAAATCTACTGACCAGGTTGTTTTTACATAGCCGTGCGACAAATGACCAGGTATTGACCAGGTAATCAGTACGGTATTGTAATTAAAAAGTAAATTACAATGATGTGCAAAGATTCCCCTTACCCTATCAAATCTTAAGATTTTGTACAACGGTGGGCGGTGAAACGTTCTCCTGGCCTCTCATTTCTCAATTTGCGCCGAAAGCCGACAATGAAGCGGAAACTGTGTAATGTGGAAGACGTCGACTCCGACGAAGACGACGAAGCTGTGTCAACGTTCGGTGGAGGAGGAGATAGCTCAGGCGACGACAATGAAGACACGGACCGGACGCAGCTAGCCCAGGGCACGCAGTTAGTCCGGGAGGGCAGCGAAGACTCACTCGACGATCTCTTACTCCAGGAAGATTCATTTAAAGGGAAGGAGCTGAAGCGGCTCCACGCCAGTTGGGACGCTTGGGAGAGGTATCGAGTTAATTACTGCGAGGAGGAGAACGCGCATCTAGTCGTTCAAGAAGCAGAGAGTGTGTCGAAGCGCAACAAGCAGCTGCGTGAGTCCAAACGTGCGAAGAGTGGCCGAAGCGTCCGCTACTTACCTGACGACTTACCGCGGTGGCGACGCAGGTATATTTGCACCCATGGAGCGAAATTTCGGCGCCGTGGTATGGGAAAGCGGCAACAGTACCGACTTCGTGGTACTGGCTGTCCGTTTCGATTCACAGTCGAAAGTGTTTTCGTCAAGGGCAAGTGGATTGTAGAGGTGAAGAACCCTATATATACGCACAACCACGCGCTATCCGAAGTGGTGTTCGAAAACTATCCACATAATCGGCAGATAATGATGTGTGAGCCTATTGTTGAAGACCTCCGGCTATTGGTTCGAGCGGGCGGTAAAAGTTTGCGCATTTACGAGTACATTCGTGACTATTCAAGCTACAAGGTGACGCGCAAGGACGTGGCTAACCTCCTTTCAAGATTCGCAATGAAATGCGTGGAGAAGCAGACGACGATTTGGCTGTTGCAGAGTTTCTTATGGAGTTTTGTGAAAAGGACAAAGACAATGTGGTTAGTGTGGACGATACATCTTCCGAAGAGACCGGTGCTATTTCTCTGACTACGAGACGTATGCGAGCCACGTTCGCCAGGTTTCCAGAGCTCTTGTTGGTTGACTGTACCCACAAAACCAACAGGTAAGGTTTTCATAGGGAATTTGCCAGGTTTCATTCCAGGTTTATGCCGGGTTAGACACCAGGCTTTCACATAGGTGATTGGCCAGGTTGAGTATCAGTTATAAACCAGGTTTTAATCCTTACTAATTCAGTTCACGTTTGTACCTTCAGATATGACTACCAACTTTGCAGTTTAATGGTTATGGATGCGTTCGGTCGAGGGCCATTCGTGCAGCATTCGCTAATTGAAACGAATTCCGACTGGCACATGCGCAAAGCTCTTATTCACTTCAAGACTGCTAACGTTGGTTGGGACGCACTCCGTGTCGTGATGGTCGATAAAGACATGACGGAGATCTCTGTGATCCGTGAAGCTTTTCCTGAAGCGACAGTTTTGCTCTGCCATTTCCATGTGTTGAAGTTTTACGTGGAGTTGTCCGTGAGGCGCGCTTCGGGCGTTATTCGCCAAGTGAATACGATGCTATGGGTCATCTCTTCGCTAACTTGGTGGACGCTACTTCAGAAGAGGTCTACGCTAAGAATTTTTCTCTTTTAGAGACGTTTTCTTGCGCTCAATGCAACGTGTCGTGTTGGGAGTACTTTTGTCAAAACTGGGATGAAAGCAAAGATATGTGGACACACTACAAACGTCAAACATTGCCGCATTTTCGTAACAATACGAACAACCGTATCGAGTCGAACTTTGGAAAGATCAAACTCGATCTTGACGGTAGTTGTTCAATGAAGGAGTGTCTGGAGTCTCTTCTTCGAACTCAGCGTCGATGCGATAACGAAAGTCTGGCAAGGGTGGCGTTTGAGGGGGCGTGAACACATTACGGCTACGATCAAGAACTTAATTTGGTATTACGTCTGTGTACACCTTGGGTAGCATCTACGCTGCAGCCTGAGTATGAGCTCGCTATCTCCGACGTCGCGGTCCGGCTGTACACATTTAACGCAACCTCTGACAACATAGTGGAAGTGGAGCGGGGTTTGAAACGATACTCATTTAGCAAGGTTGACTGGATTTGTGATTGTGATTTTTCGACAACTCTCAAGCTTCCATGCCGCCATGTGATATGCTTTCGCCGCTTTGCTGGACTTGTTCCGTGTATTCCAGTGTCCTACATTCACTCGAGATGGTTAATTACGGATTCGTTGTCTTTGACAAGCTTGCCATACGTGGATGTTTTCAATTACTCAAAGACTACCAAACCTATCGGGGAGTACAACGTGGATTCGGTGCTGGATAGTCGACAAAAATACAGCATATCAAGGAATCTGCTAAACCGTGTAGCACAGGAGCTAGCTGACTTGCCGATGCGACTTTTCAGCAAAGAGATGGAGTACCTGAAAGACTACCTGGGCCGACTGCGCACTGGTTTGCAACCTGTGGAGATACCTGCAGGTGAACCTGTGAAAAAACCTGTAGTTCAATGTGTGGAAAAACCTGGTACGCAACCTGCAGAGAAGCTATGTCATCAATCTGCCGAGCATTCTTTAAACGAGTTGGATGGAGTTGAGAATGGAGACGACGAAAAAGAAGATGAAGGCGAGGTCACGGATGACGCAGTTGTAGAACCTCCAGAACAAAATTTGGAGGTTCAACCTGATGAAAAACCTGGAAGTGAGCATGAAGAAAAACCTGTAATGAACCCGGGTGAGGTGTCTGTAAAGAAACCTGAGGAAGAACCTGTATTGTCATCTGGCAGTAAACATGTTACAGATCGTGTAGTAAATCCTGTCACGAATCCTGTGGGTACACCTGATGTACTAGATGAGAATCCACCCAAGCCCATCAATTTGAGCAAGAGGTGCGGCGGGCTGGGCGACCGAAAACAACTGCAGCGCAAAACTCCAAGAAACGAGCCACAGCGCGTAAGAAATTCAATACACGACTGGAGAAAGGCGGAGCGCTATCATTCGAGGACGTCGGGGTTGTTGCGCGCATCCTTGGCAACATAAACATCAGTTTTACTAATATTTCCGAATTGCTGGATGTTTATCCAGTACAGTATGAGAGTGCTGCCCGTAAGCATCCAAAAGTTGGTGGAGATAAGAAGCCGATTCTGAGCGCTGCTCTACCGTTCCTACTGCCTGCTCCATTAGTGAAGAAATCCTTAGATGTAATCTACGAGTCTGGCGCAGTTCCGTTGCCAAGCCAAACCGATGAAGAACCCCTATACGTCAAGATTACCGGTATTGGCAATTTTTCGCTGTATCAAGTCGACTGCATGCAGAGAGTATGGACAATGAAAGAGGCTGTTGTGATGGGCAAGAGACTAGTGGAGTGGTTGAAGTGTGTACGCGTCTGAAAGAAACAAGCAGAAGAAGTTCTTAAGCGCGTTCTACAAGCGCATCCATTTGAAATCGTGGAGGGTAATATCGGTGATTTGGATTACTCAACGCTGTACAGACTCCCCAAGAAGGACTGGATAAGCTCAAAGATATTTGAAGCAATGGGAGAGATTTGGAAAAGAAATCATAGCGTGACCGTGGTTACAACTGCAGGGTTTAAGCTCAACAGAAAGGTCAAGGGGGTCGACGTGCCGGCTGGTCTGTTGAACAAACTTACGTCTATCACTTCCAGATTGGTGTTTATACCTGTTAACTTTGCGCAAGTGCATTGGACTGCGATTATTGTCAACACGACGACGAAGAGCATTTTTGTCTACGATCCGCTGGGGGACCAAGACTACATCACGTTTCTCACCAAGCTTCAGAGCAGCATCACTAAAGATCAAGCGTTCAGTAGCTTCAAACTGGTTTTGGTCGCGTCGCCGACGCAAGACGATGGAAACAGCTGCGGAATATACATTCTGAACTTCATGTGGAGACTGCTTGACGAAAATGTGAAGAGTGCGCATGAGGACTCTGGACTCAATATCTTCCGGCTACGTGTGCTAGCAGCCCTGCTTAATCTGTAATAGATTTGTTTACTCTGTGTAAATGATGTGTACGTATTCCCGTTATAGCGTAAGTACCTGTGCAAAAGACGCACCAGACATGAAAAGAAACTTGTCCATGAAAGACAGAGAGAAAACGTGAAGAAGCTATCGACGCCTTGAATAAACACAAAGTGCTCAAACCTGGTAAGCGACCGGCATCAACCTGGTTTCCAGCCTAAAACCAAAGCAGTATTGAAAAAAAAAACAAGTTCGAAAACCTGGGAGAAACCTGTTTGAAAAACCTGGTGTAAATCCTGACACCAAAATAAAAGGAAAGGATACAATCCATCTTATCACACCTGCACTTACACCTGGTGCGCAACCTGGTATGTAACCGGACACGCAACCAAGACGGAGCTACAGCTCAGCTTGCAGCCGGATGTCGTCCAAGCACCATGATTACTTTGGAGCCCGACTTCGATATAAAATGGACGCGCAGATCTCTTTATAAATCATTTAGTGAGTATTCAAGAGCTGCAGAAAAACAAAGAAAATCCATTTATTTATATTACGGTTTTATTACAGGTCAATTTTATCTTACAGCCTGTTTTTACCCTGCCAA